TGTAGTATTTCCTTAACTCAACGTCACGGCGGCGATCGCCGGGAGCGGATTTCTCTGCGGTGGTCAGATTGCGAGCAGGAAAACAGCGCGACTCTTGCAAACAAACAAATAAAGAAACACATCGGGTTTACTCTTTTGTAAGGAAGTGTCATAAGTTGAGCAATTCGGTCCCGCCGTACATGCGGGGAACAGGGCGAGGCACCATCCACCACCTCCGTAAACATCCTCGCCTGTGGATGCGTGGATTCGTTGGGCTGGAAGGAGCGAACTACGAATAAATCTGCTAGTTTCACTTAAACATTGAAAAAAATTTTTATATAAAATACATTAGAACGACCGTGTGGGTCACGTATTTCTTCCCCACAGCGGCTCGACCCCTCTCCGCAATGTCACGTTGTGGCCCGGCTGCGACCTTCCCCAAACCCTCCGCAAGCTTACCCTCTTCCTCCCCCGCTCCCTTCTTCGGAAACACGGCGAAAGGGGAAGCCCACCCCTGCTAACCTCTCGGGAAGGTGGGAAGCGGAGACCAGGCGGCCTCCCTCCCTGCCTCCGGCCCCCCTCGCCACCGCCCTGCCCTTGCCCGCCACCGTGCCTCCGCTGCCCGCTCTTTGCTCTGCCTGTGCGGGAGGTTGCGGGGAGCTGCGGGCAGCGCTGCCCGGGGCTTGGCTGCGCTGAGCTGGGGCGCGGGGAAGCTGCAGAGCAGATTTTCAGCAGCGCGGCTCTGCTGCGGCACTGCCTGCGGAGCAAACCCGTCGCAGCCGCACGCACTTCTTCCCACAAAGAGGACCGATCTCCTGCTCTGCCTTCACGATCCCTTGCCTTTGACTATGGGGAGCACCCCCTCTCCGGGACACCCGGGGCTCCGGGCGGCACTGCGCCTGCCCCTCGCCGGTGCGCGGAGCGGCTCCAGTTGCCTTCTCCGACTTGCTGTCAAAAATATCACTTTCTTTACTATATCATCTTTTTTTCCCCCTCTTTTTTCCCTCCTTTTATTTCTTTTAATTTTTATTTTATTTATTCCCCCTGTAACTGTCTGTGGAAAGTCAAAAATAATTGGAGGTAGGTGATTTCTTGAGAGAACCGCCGTGTGCGCGCTCCCTTGCCCATATGGAGAAAATTATCCCTCAAGTTCAGACTTTCGTTGGATCGCAGCACCGAACAGCCCAAATGTGGCAGGAGTCTGGAGAGAGGGTCACTTTCGATTCCTGCCGCCTGCACGGCCAGAGAGAGGAGCGAGGGGCCGGCTGCCGGGGCCGCCGCAGCTCCCCAGGTGCCCTCCCCGCCGCGGGCAGCCCCGCACGGTGCCCGCGGGGCCCCGGCCCGGGGTGAAACCCTGCCCGGGCAGGCGCTGCCGCCGTCCCGCTCGCTGCTCGCACTCCCGTGCCTGGCACGGGCTATTCCAGCCCGGCCTGACCCCGGCCCGCAGTGTGCGGGTGCTGCCGGAGGGCTCTGCCGGCTGTGCAGGGTTTCACCGGGCAGCACGGTCGGTGTCCGCCCGCGGAGCAGGGGGCGCGGAGGCGGGCGCCGAGCGGGGACTCCCCGCAGCAGCCTGACCTTTCCCGGTGTTCCCGCCGCGAAAAGAGCCGGGCAAGCGATGAGCGATCCGCGTTCTCCCAGAAGAATGGCCAACGAAGCGACGCGGGGAAAGGCAGCACCTCTCTCCAGGTATTCTCTCATCTGTGCACTGCACTGAGGTGAAGTTTTCTAAAACTCAGAAACAAGCTTTTCCCTAATTTTTTTTTCCGTTCCAGGAAAGAAAGAAAGACAAAAAATAAGTCTGTAAAAGCGCCCTTAGTTCGGAACTAATCTAGGGCAAAAATTGTTATATGGGAGCAACGTAACGGAGCGGCAGCCCGATGGAATCACACACCCAGTTTAAGCAAAAGCCCCCACGTGTATATTTGACATATATTATGCACGTAAAAAAAGCAACACCGGGCTTCGGGGGCCTGGAACACCTACGGAAACCACTGATTTTGCCTTAGGAACTCTGTTTTATTACACTCGATGTAACTTCCACAGCGCACACATATGAGCTTCGATATTTGGGAACACATCAGCAAGTAAAGGAATTCAGTGAGGTTATGCCTTTCAAACCTGGATACTTATATTCCTATTCCAAGATGCCACTGCAAGCAATTATGCACTTGAAGTCCTCGGAAAAAAGTGCATGTTTTAAAATTAAATACGTATTATTTAGTATTCTTAATGACACTTCAATGTACTAAAATTTAGCCTCTAAATTTTAGAAACTCGGAGAATTATTTGGGAGTTGTTCAGTGTCTCTCACTGCAAACTCCTTCAACCTCGTGAGAGTCACCAGGACGTAGATATCTCGGGTGGATGGAGAGGCGGGGGCGCGGGTGTCGTGCAGAGTGAATCACCCCAAAAACCCCCCTGCTCTTTTGCAAGCTCGAATTTCCCCAAACGATGGAGGAGAGTGGACAGATACGCATACACACACACACACTAAAAAAGGACCCGAACATGGAGGAGAGGGAGTTGACTCCCAGCAGAGCTAACTTCCTTCCAGGCTCTCTCCAAGCCAGGTGAAAGCAGCTGAAAATAGCGACGACCCGTTGCCCAGAAAAATCCTTCGTGAAATGCAAAGCAAAGTTAGGCGGGTCCGCGAGATCGAGCCCTCTAGGAGCAAGTTAAAGTTAAATAATTCATGAAAGTGGATGTCTGAACGAGAAACGAAAAGTATTCCGGTGGTACCAAAAAGTGCGGAACAGGACTAGTGGTAAATGGTAGTGTGATTTTCTAGTTTCCCTCAGAAAAAACGGGGCTGCTTTTGAAGACGCTTTAGTTTGCTTCTTCCCTCTTCCCCATCCCCGTACGGACAGCGGTGCGCTCAGTCCAGAGGAAAGTTTAGGGAAGTTTGTGACCACAGCCCCCTCCTCGGGCGGGCTCTCTCCCGCCGCTCCGGCCCCCGGGCAGGGCGGCATCCCTTCTTGCCGGCTGCAGAAGGAAAGCAAGGCTCTGATGGGGAACGCTAACTGGGGTCTGAGATGGGGCGGGGAGCGAGAAGACCAGAGCCGGGGAGACAAATCAGCTTCGCGAAGGGCGGCGAACGCTGCGCGCTCCCGGTCAGCGAACGTCCCGACAGCCGTGGGCAGCGAGTTTTTGTTTTGGTGTGCATTGACTTCCACCAAGAAAAACAAGCACCCGGTGGAAGAGCATCTCCCGCACGCTCTTCCCACGCAACCTCCACGTCAGGGAAAGCTCGGGCACCTCTTCGCTCCCATGCGGGGCAACGAGCGTTTTCCCGTGGGATGTCTGGAGTGGGGACACCTGCAGCCCCTGCCTGGCCTGCAGCTCTGCCTCTGCTTTAGTTAATTATTTTTTTTTTTAAGTCTGACGAGTTTTCCTCCAGGGAGAGCCCTCGTGGCAGACACGGGCGCTCAGAAACCCACAATTTCAGCGGTTCCCCAGGTAGCTGCTGCCGGGCAAAGCCGCTGTGTCCGCTCGTTCAGCCTCCGACTGCTGGAAACCTGCAGTAGCTCACCGGCGTGCGGCACCGCACCGCCGACACCCCCAGCATTTCCGAGGCCACGGGAGCCACCACGGGACCGTTCCTTCGGGATGGAGCGGGTCAACCCGCCGGGCGGGCGGGAAAGGCGCCTCTCGCCCATATCGCGCCACCCACGACTGCGAGAAGTTGCCGTACACGGCGCGTCGCAAGCCACGATTTCGAAGGAGGTGTGAAAACAAGCGCAGGGGCTGGATCCAGAATTTGGACGCCGTTCCGGCGGCTGCCCCTGAGGGACAGATTTCAGGCGCGCAACTGGTCTGAACGGCGGGTAGTTCAAAAGCCGCGCTTAAACTGAGTGCTCTGCCGGCGGGTATCGCGCTGGGGGGGATTTGGAGCGCGTGTGCACGAACGCGTGCTCACAAACACACGCGGGAGGCTTCTCCGCGCCCCTCACAAAAAAAGAAAAAAAAAGCAAGCCCGTTAGGACTGCATTAGTTTTATTAGGAGACGTATTGAGCGGCCTTTAAGGTTTTTGACGGGACCGGAGGGTCCCGGGGCCGGCGGGGCCGCGGGGCGGGAGGGAGCGCTGCGGCGGCCGGCAGGGGGCGCTGCCGCCCCGCGGATGCGCTGCGGGATGGACCGGGATGGACTGGGATGGACCGGGATAGACTGGGATGGACAGGGATAGACTGGGATAGACTGGGATGGACCGGGATGGACCGGGATGGACCGGGATGGACTGGGATGGACTGGGATAGACTGGGATGGACAGGGATAGACTGGGATGGACCGGGATATACTGGGATAGACAGGAATAGATAGGG